AACATGTGTGGAGGCTGCAGCTGTCGCCAGTGTGACTTGCAAATTCCAGATCTTCCAGGTGATCATTCCCATCTCCTGGGTAGATTTTTTTTCCCTGAGATTTATAACAGCAATATTTAGGCTGGTTTGAATGAAGTATGAAAGGATGCTCCAGCTCCTTCCTTCCTGTTTATATTTATTGTATTCATCCTTGTTTAGATGTGGAGAATTTCACCCATCCCAGTGAAGTCTTTGCTGTAATGGTTCACATTCTTCTTTTTTATTTTTGGCATTTCCTGCTCAGTAAATGATGGTTAATTAGGAAATTGTGTGGGTGCAGATTTGCAGGAGTGTGGTCCCCGTGTGTGCCCCATGTCCCAGGCTGGGAATCTGCAGTGGGAAAACCCCAGCTGGTGCAGATTTGTAGGAGTGTGGTCCCAGTGTGTGCCCCATGTCCCAGGGTGGGAATCTGCAGTGGGAAAACCCCAGCCTGGCTGAGAGAAAGGGGATGAAAATGATGATACTGTCTGAAAAACTGTCCCTGAGAGAGGGGAGTGAGGGTCCCTCCAGCTGCTGCTGGGGACGTTGAGGTCTTTGGCCACAGAGAGAGGGAGAATGACAGGTCCAGAGGAAGGAACTTGTGCACTGATTCTTACAGATCCATGCAGAGATTTCCTTCCATGAAGTAATGGATGAAACAGGGAAACCAGCTTCATCCTGAAGGGTCTGCAGTGTCCTGGCAAGTTTTCATTTCTCTCTGCAAGCTCAGGATGCCCTTGCACAGCAGGAAAGGATGAGGGGAGAGAATCCTGATGTGGGGCTGGACAACAAGGGCTTGGAGGGAGAGACTCTTTCTGCTCTCCATAGAGACCCTCCCCAATTCCAGGGGAGCACCTGGAAAGGTCATTTAAGATAAAAATAGGAATTCTTGGTATCTGTCAGGAACAATGTGAGCATGGGCAGTTTGCAGAGCATCACTGCAGGCTAAAATCATGCTGTGCCCATTGGATTCCCTATGAGCTGTGGGTGTTCCCATGCCTTGTCCCTTCCTGGGGTTGGCAGGTGTCTGTCCCAGCTGGGTGAGGAGTATCCCACAGTGCCAGTCAGGGTCCAGGCTACTCCCCCTGTGTGCCATGGAATTGTGCTGAGCAGCTCCAGCATTTCCCAGGTGCAGGGGCAGGACCACGAGCAGCTGTGGGTGTGGGTACCTTCCAGTAGGGCTGATCTGCTGGCACACAGCCCTTCCAGGAGTTTCTTCTGTAAATATTAGTACATTCCTATATCCAAGTTTACGAGATCATTTACAGGAGGTTCCTTTCTGGCAGAGGTTTGCAAACATGTGGCCCCAGGCCAGCAGCCAGCGAGGTGTGAGTGTGCTGGGGTGCAGGACCTGCCTGTGCTCACTGCCTGCATCCACCAGCTCAGTCCCAGCTGATGGATCTGCTTTTCCAGAGGGAAAAGGTCTGAGCTGTGTGGCACCATCCATACTGTGAGATAATGGCTTGAGGCTGGGGCACATGCTCATGCCCTTGGTAGCTCCCCAAGTCCCAGGAGATGCAGTCTTGATCCTGACCTCCCCTTCTGACTCCAGAAAAACCTCTGGAAAATGCTGGCTGAGCTCATATGACCTCTCCTTGTGGGTCCCGTCTCCTGCAGATGCTTTGGGTCAGCATCCTGGCTGCCTCTCGCAGGGTTTATTCCCAGTGGAGACTGGAGCTCCTCCCGCTCCGTTCCCAGTGCTGCCGCGTGCTGAGCGGCTGGGGGGGTCAGTGTTTGCAATTAAAACGCGGCTATAAACTGCCTCTCATTAGAACAACAATAGCAGGGGGAAAGGTTAAGTTTGGGGGAGAAAGCCACATGTGCCCTTGCGGTTTAAAGAAAATAAATGTGCTTTTCTGAGCGCTGTGTAAGGCAGACTTGGCTCCTCCCAGCCCTTCCTGCTAACCAGATAGGAGCCTGGCAGGTCCCGGTCGCATTCCAGTAAATGTTCAGGATATGGTGTGCCCAGAGGTTTCTGCGAAGAGCCGAGGGGAGAGCCCAGCCCTGCTGCCTATGGAGCCCTGCTGGAACTTTGCTATGTGCTGGTCCAGCTCTCCTGGGCATCATCTTAAAAAATCCTCTGGAGGGTGTTTGGAAGTTCGAGCACCCTAAAAGTTTAAAACTTCCCAACTGATTCCTTAGTGGTGGCATCTGTAGGGGCAATTCCTCCCAGCAGCAGGTCCCATGGGCTGGAGCACCAGCACCACCGACCGCAGGGATGGGGATAGGTAAGAGGCCACGGGTGACTGGTGAAATCTTGATGGTGGCACAGAATTCCGAGCGATGGCTGTGTGTGTGGGATGCCAGGCTGCCCCAAACCCTTTCTGCCAGCTGCCAGCTCACTGTGTGACCCAGCCCTGCTGCATCAGCTCTGCCTGCTGTGAGGTGGTCCCATGTCAGACTTTATCCTTTGGTAGCACACATACTGTGCCTCCCCTCTCTGTGTACAGGTGTGTTTGGCTCCTGCAAGGTGTGTTGGCACCAGGGTTAAAGAAACCTTGGTCCAGAGCCTGTGTTCCCCAGCTCCCCCTTGCCAGCTGATGAAACCATAGGAGGAAGGAGAGCACCAAGAAGCCTCGTGGGGTTTACTTACTGTGCTGGTCGCTTCGGTCCCTGGTCCCGTCCACGGTGCCGTCCGGGAGGATCCGGAGGAAGTGGCCCCCGTTGCTGCAATACAGGAGTTTGGGCTTCTTGTAGTTCCCCGGGGGCAGGTTGAACTTTTCGGTCAGGGCGGTGAAGGTGGTGATTTCTCCCTCAGCCATCCTGCAGCCTCTGCCAGGGCCAGGCTGTAAGAGACGTGGTGGCACCGAGTGCTGGGCACAGGCTGCTGCTGCCAGGCTATAAAGGGTGGGC